TCCGCATTGCAGATGCCTCCATCATCCCTGTGATTCCGGACTGTCGGATCCAGAACTCGGTGTACATGATTGGCGAAAAGGTTAGTAATATTTCCTCTCATGAAATAATCATTTAGTGATGTGACGACTAACGAGCATCTAGGGAGCGGATATTATCAAGGCCGACCACAAGGATCTGTACGAGTCGAAGAACATCCCGTACTTTGTTCCGAGTCGGTTGTAAGTACTTAGAGTGGCTAGGACACAGATCTGTTTGGGGGATATGGGAGATTGTGTCAATGGGTATTGGTGACATGCTAGCTCTTTGCATTAATCTTTAGTCCCTGCTTTATGAATGCGTCTCGTGTTGAACCAGTCTTTATGAACATGAAACATTCTCTAATCTATAAATCTAGCTATTTAAATAATGCATAGACGACAGAAAAAGCATATTCACAACTGGTAAAACCCCTTCTGACTCCAAAAGCCCAGCAACCTGGTCAACATACCCACATCAAACGGCACATACTTAATCCCCGGCACATCCCTCAACGCCGCAACCGTATTGGAACAATCATAACGCGTCGTATCCTTATGCATCTCCAACCACGACAATCCATCCTTCACTGTCTCCTGCAACAACGACATGAGCGGCATCAACGGGTTATCAGGACCACCCCTTTCCTGCAGCAAACGCACCCAGTCCCAATATTCCACCAGTTCAACCGGATACCCCGCCTGGTTCATAATCCGCCTCGTCTCTTCAAGATCGATGGAGTCCGCCTCATCAGGAGCAACGAGATTGTACGTCTTTCCGAGATTGCCATTATTAGCAGCGATATGCAGCACCGCATCACACACATAATCCGCCGACACATACTCCATGCGCTGATTTAGTAGATGCGGAAACGCACCAACCTGGATACATCCCACGACAAACCGAGCAAAGAAATCATCCGGATTCCCACACCCCTGCTCAACATCACCTAGAATAAACCCCGGGCGGAAAATCATAGCTGCCAGACCGTGATCACGCGCCCGACGCACCATCATTTCCGAGACCCATTTCGTAGCCGCATAGCCGAGCTCATATTTCAGTGCGTGGAGATGCGGCTCCAGCGGACCGTCCTCGAAGACTTTCTCTGTGCCGAGAACGTGGCCTGTTGGCCCGAAGACGTCAATACTAGACATGTACATGAACGCCTTGCGGCGACCGGAGGTAGCCACTTTCATGACGTGACGGGTTCCAAGGACATTAGCATCGTAGTGCGCGGCATATGGTTCCAGATAGTTGACTTTCGCCGCGAGGTGGAAGACCACGCTGGCCCAGTTGGTCAGCCAGGTGAACATGTCCTCGGTTAGACCGAGATGTCTCATGGTGATGTCGCCGTTAAGGACGGTGAGTTTGTGGATGCAGTGTGAGGTCTTGTCCCAGAGGTTGTAGCGTTCCAGGACTGATTGGACCCTTTCGCTGGCTGAGATGCCGAATTTTCCTCGCACTAAACAGACGACTTCCTTGACGGTGGGCATTGCGAGACAGCGGCTGAGGAAGTGGGCGCCTACAAACCCAGTCGCACCCGTGAGGAAGATGCGGCCTTCTTCGGCGGCTTGCCAGTTGGGAACGGTATAGAGATCGTCAGCTGTGTGGGCGTCTGTCATCCAGCGGTCGAGGTCGTTGGGGTTGTTGGGGTTGTTGTCCTGAATGGAGTTGTCGATGCGGTTGGCTAGGTCCGTTAGTCGGGGATTTTCGTACAATGTGCGCATGGAGACGGTGTTTCCGAATTGCCTCCTGGTTCTGGAGATCATAGCAGCCGCTTGAAGGGACGATCCTCGAAGAGTGGAGAAGAAATTGTCTTCCTCGTTGATTAGCTGTTGGCCGAGAACGGAGGTCCAGATCTTTCGGAGGATGTTGGTTGTGGTGGTTGGGTCTTCAATTGTTGGTAGAATCTCCTGAATCTTGGTACAGTGACTGGCATACTGCCTCGCTAATGCCTTGCGATCAACCTTGCCATGGTCTGTTAGGGGATAGTGCTGGCAGAAGACAATATCCCGCGGCACAGCGTAAACTGGTGCCTTTTGCTTAATGAACTCCAGCATGTCTGTAGCTTGAATAGTACTAGCAACAGCCGGAATGAGAAATGCAACGAGAAAGGGCTCATCTTCGACAGTTTCTGGCTGAATTTGACACACCGTCGCGGCTAGTAGCCGGTTACTACCAAGGAATGACTGCTCGATCTCGCCAAGTTCGACGCGAAAACCGCACTGCTTAACCTGCAGGTCTACACGACCGATGAACTCGAGCAAAGTTGGATCGTCGGGACGCCACTTGGCAAAGTCACCGGTTCGGTAGAGTCGGTACCCTGCTTTATCGACGAAAAATCTGTCCTCATTTTCTTTAGGGCGTCCGATATATCCTGCTGTCAGTCCAGGTCCGCCCAGGAGTATCTCGCCGATGCTTCCCTGCTCGGTTATGATATTGAGGTTTTCATCAGCAAGGAAAAGCCTTGTATCGCCGAATGGCGTACCGATGCTGATGCTGTCGTAGCACAAATCATCTGCCGTAACTGAATGCATTGTCGACACGATCGTCGTTTCAGTGGGGCCATATGCGTTCCACAGATGTTGAGGTGGATTAGGCGATTCAAGGACAGCCTTCATGCTGGCCATATTGGCTACTTCACCAGCAATGAGGACATGTCTCAAACCAGTAAACGCACTGGGACATGCTTGTGCAATTATTGAGAAGAGTGAGGTAGTTAGGAAAGAGACAGAGATATTTTTCTGCGTGATGAAACTCTTAGCTTCCAAGGGATCCGTGATCACCGGCCGGGGCACTGTGACCAGCGTGGAGCCTGACATTAGAGCGACGAATATTTCAAAAACTGACATATCGAAGCCCGGATTGTTAAATAGGCTCACACGGTCCGATGGCAGAAGCGGCGTGGCAGGACTTTTGAACATAAGGTGGAGGATGCCACTCTCTGGAATCTGAACAGCTTTTGGCTTTCCACTGGACCCTGATGTATACAGGATATGACTTCGATAATCACAGTTGGGCAGACCTTTCAGTTGCACACGCTTAACACTGGCTGTCTCCGGTCGGACTGCTTTCGTAAGTGGGTGGTATTCGCCACTGATGGGGATAATGACCATATCATTGTCAATGTCCAAAGTATGGTTAGATAGAATGTACTGTGTTCCGACATCTTTCAGGAGGTTCATCAAGCGACTAGTTGGAATCGAAGGCTCGAGGGGAACGCATGTCAAGCCCGCCCGGATGACGGCGAGCTGGGCAATGATGGTCTCACTGCCCGCACCCTGCAAGATACAAATGGGCTCCTCTGGAGGTAGGTCCAGGGTCTTCAGAAGGGATGCGATACGCTGGACTTCACGGTCGAGGTCTGAATACGACCATTGATGTTCTCCATCATCTATTGCCAGGGCTCCCGGATCGATAGCGACGTTATGAGAGAAAAGAGAGTCCATGACTTTGCCCGGTATGTCGGCCGTACAAAGGCCCTTTCGAACTTGAGAGAGTAGTCAAAAGATCTTGAATGTGCCTGATGGATAGCTTTAGTGGAACATGTATTTCTTTTATGCAGTCCTGCCATATTTTAAACCCTTCATCACTTCATTGATAGGTACAATCAGATGAAATCACCATGATGATTTGCCATGCGCGCATCGTGACGATTCCCGAACGCTCACCATATTTCAAAGTTGACTGGAATTAGTTCCAGCCTCTCAAAACAATATCGGTGCGCACAGATCGTGGATTTTCCAAGGTAGCTGTCCCTATAACCGTCAGTTGTCAGACTGATAGGCGAGAACGATACCCCACGAGGAAGGTATGCATAAAAAAGAAGAATGATGTGGCTGAACTTTACTTTGTCGTTAATTCCGGTGACATATTCCCCTTTGTGGCTTTGTACGGAACCATGGTTGTGTTGCAGAAAATCATGAAACAGCAAGGATTGAGTTCCTCTTCTCGGAAGGAACTTGTCACGTAGCAACCAACTTGGAAGCTGCATCGCAGATTCGCAAATTTAACGTTGGGTTGGAAGACTGTCTTTTGCTGTGTTCCTCAAGAAGATCAATGCAGTGACCGGTTGTTCCCTTGTGTTCTTGATTACCTGCGATGGGAGCAAGCCTCATGAAAGTTTACCAATCCATATTTAGTTGAGCAGTGAAAACTACTCACTACAACCAGGTTTGCAATTGTTGCGGCTCTTCCCCATAGATGCTGTTGCGGGTAATCTCTCCGTCATGAATTCCGGCCTAATGTGGCGTCAACTAGGCCTCGGGATGGTCGATTACCCGCGGAGCATGCCTTTATTTCATGTGAGTTCAGATTGAAATTTTCCGGGAGCCGACTCAGCCCGTTAGTATTCTTTGGTCAAAACATCCGTTGAACTATCACATTGAGAGTGAGAAATAAGAGGAGTCAGATACGGAGAGGACCACATGCCTTTGATGTGAGGCGTGGCTGAGTCGATAGATTGAAAACACAGAAACTACGCACATAGGAAAGACTCTGGGTAATGCATAATCCGTGCTATTCTTCTAAGCGCCAGTGCAAGAATAAATAGGTTTTTCCCGGACAACGCTGTCAACAACACGCCATTCGGTGAACAAAGAAGTAGAATAATCCCTCTGTTGCCGAGATTGCACTGCTTATTCCACAAAAGTGTGAATGAGACGAGGCTTCTTCATTACATGGCTGCTAAGAGCACTCTGTTGTCTGCGGCTGCACCCTGTCCTATATTCTAAAGCAGGCCTCAAGATCGCTTTATTTCACTATTCATCATAGGTAATTTCCTCCATACAACATCTGCTCAAGCAAATAGTCAGGAGCAGGCCAATGTACATATAATGCGCTCTTATACTCTTCTTCTTACGTTCTCGTTAGCTGTCAAACTTGTGTTCATCTTACCCAGACGCATCATCACAAGGATTCAACCTACTTCTTCGCATCAATCAAGTCTACCTTTACCATGCATGAAGCCAGCTGTCATCTGAGAATGCTTCCCCGCAAGATATTGTTGCGTCTTACTCAATGGCTGGACCCTATATCCGTCGTCCATTTATCAAGCACTTGCAAGGATTTCAAGGCGGTCCTACGAGAAAAGTATACCTTGGCAGCCCTGAACCATGCAACTACTGTATGCAAATATGTATATGTTTATAGGGGTTTGGATGAAAATATTTTCAGACGTGCTACATCCGAGGATACCGACAGAGACAACATGGCAAGGTTACCTCGACTAGAAGCCCTTATCACAAATAATGACCGGAACCTTGTCGAGAAGTATATCGACGCAGGCATCGATCCCAATATGGAAATATGGGGACACGGATCGGGATCATTATTGCTACGAGCTGGCCGATGTACTAGGATTGATATTATCGAAATGCTACTCGGAAAGGGGGCCGAACCCCGGCAGACACTTTGGTCATCGCCATCGGAATGGTCTATACTGGATGAGCTGGCGAACTGGCATCAGTACAACTTATACTCGACGCATTGGAAAGAAACAACTCTACTCTTCCTTGGGTGTGGTGTCATCTTCTCAAGCCTGAAAATGGCCGAGCAGCTATGTGGCATGCAAGACGCGCCACATGTCCTTGAGGTTGCGCTTGGACAGGGCCTGAGTATCCACCACACATTTAGGGAAGTGGATACAAATCACGATGGCATAACTGTAGAGCGCGAAAATATATCTTGGTTGCACGCTGCTGTTCCTAAAGGCACTCCTGAGATGATAAAGCACATACTCGACCGAGCGCCAGAACAATTGACTGCTCTTGAGATTGTTCACACAACCAAGATACCTTGGTATATGCTCTGGCATTCAACAGGCAACCATATGCTATATCGATTTGACACTCATCGAAACCGATCGCCCCTAGATCTAGCAGTTGAAAGGGGCAAGGACAAGATTGTTGGGTATTTACTCGATCTGGGAATTAAACCTACTTTCGAAACCCTGGAAGGTGCAATCAAGCTGGCCAATAGGAAACAAGACAAGTTCTACTGGAATTGTCGACTTGACCCTATGGAATGGTTAGAATGGAAGCTCCAATGGGTTGATTTGGTGCAGATAATTGCAAGTAAGCTCGACATTGACGGCGCAGAGGCTACTTCGCTCTTTGAGCGAATCTTAGATTATGCCTCTTGGGCCGCTCGACCCGGTGGTGAAGATGATGGAAGATTATATCTGTCTGGCCTATTAAAGAAGCTGAGCCCCCGTACCCAGTTACTCTATGCAGACCGACTTGCGTTTGATGATTATGAAAATAGCTTGACTGAAGCGAGAAAGAAACTCAAAGAGCTCGCGGGAGAAATTGATCAATCGAACTCCGAGTGTTGGCAAGCTTGGAGGAATAAGGTATCGAGATATGGGTCTATCAACGATGGAGTGCTCGAGAGGTATCATGAAATGCTCGAGGACATTGAGGACCATGTGGAAGAACTAAAGTTTGCCGAGAAAAAACTCCAGTATATTGCAAGGCAAGTGAAAGGGCTCGAAGAGATCCTGCAATTAAGGCGTGAGTCTACCTTGGATTTGCCATAGAGACTTGCCGATGTCTGCGGTTGATCATGCAGTTAGATTCCGATGAAGTTCCACTTGCGCTTGTAGTGTACCGAGTGTCTTTGGACGAAATTGATATAGACAGGGTATAAATGTTTCTTTTCGATGCATTTTACGGTTGTCACGTATATTAGTTGTCTTTATTCATCGATTTCAATATTATATAGAACCTTCTGTATAGAGTTAATTAATATGCAAGTAGCCTCCATCAAAGCAAACAGATGATGTCGAATGACAATGTATAATGTCTACTATTTTATGTTGAATGTAATATACCGACCCCCAGCTGTAAGCTTCATGGCCACATAAGCGGGCTTTGCAATAATGTGTACCCTGATAAAGAAGACTTGTCAATGTCAGAGGCCCAGAAATAATGGATGGTACTTTGAGAACGTATTATCGGCTAGAAATACATGTTATTTACCTATGTAATCCTGCTCACAGATCATCACTTACCATAGTTTATGTATCCATCTTGTAATACAAGAAATTGTGATAGGTAGTTGTCGATGGCGGCAGCATCAGGGGCCGTATCACTTAGAACGCTTTCGCGGGTGTCTCCGCCGCTTGGTATATCCATTTGTTGGATTGAAAAATATGAGCACTGAGTATGGCAAAGGTTCGGTTTCTTGCCAAACAACATCTCTTTTGTAGATAACCCATTTGCCAGAATGTGGAAAGTAGCGTACACATGGACTTTTGTACCATATGACTCACAGGAAGTAATGGGATCAACAAACAGCAACAAAGAGAAGTGAGCTAGAAAGGTTTCGGACTAAGAGAACAGCGACCACATGATCAATCCATCTGAGTCGCTTTTGCGCCCGGGAGAAAAAGTGATGAAAGAGATCTTATCCTACAGAAATACTCTTTTTACACTGTACAAGGGAGATATCCTCATGCCCTAGAAGAGGGTGTAATGTGCAAAAAGGTGCTGCCCCCAGACTACCTTGCACCAGAGACAGCCCACCAGGTACCCTGGAAAGCCTTCTGGGCTGTAAATGGGAATGGTGTCCACTAACGGTAGACGCTCTTCTGGGTGCACGTGCCACAACCTCCTCTGTCTCACTCGTTACCCGGTTATGCGACATGGGCGGGTACTCGAGCGCGTTAACTGAGCTTGTAATGAACGAAAGTCTGGACGTTCACTGGATTTACCCGGGAAAGCTATTGTGCACAGATTATACTGACTCAACACTACTATATATTGCTGCTTCTGTAGGAACCCCTGCACTCCTGGAGGCGATGTTTACCCGTGCACCTGACCAACTTCACGTTAGTGTGACAGGGAAGAGCCTGTTATACAGATTCATGCCTGCTTACTGGTCCGCAACGTGTTTTGAATGGTCAGTGTGCGGAAGAATGGTATGCCTTATACCTATTGTTGAACCTGTCTATAGGGTTATATGGCTTGGCCCCTCCCACATATATACTCCACTATGGTAGCAAGACCGAGAACGAGTTCGGCTCATTCGAACTTGCGTGGGAGGACTCCTTTCTGTTACCTGCCGGATGTCTCGATGTTATGGATATCATGGCAACTAGAAATAAACCTGATTCTCCAGAAGCTACTTCAAAGATTTAAAGCTGTAACGAATTTCTCTTTCGCGAGAGGACTACTTTGAAAGCGAGGCTTTTCCAGGCAGCCTGTTTGCCGTCCTTGCTGGGCAATATATGTCTTCGTATTCGTAGTTTGTACCTTGACAAGTTTTATACAGTAATTTATGAAGAGGATCTGGATGAATTGAGGTATATTATTGGCTGGTGTAAAGTCGCTCTCCAAAAGGAGATATAAAAGGGGAAGGGGAGCTTAAGAGTAGCGTAACAGATACATCAAAGAACTGCCTTTCTTTGTTGTCATTTTTTAGATAACATGGGAGGATACAGCAAGGAATAGACGATCTTTGGAGAGGGTCGATGCTTAATCCTGAATCTCCGGAAACGTCTCAACGGGTTGGGTGACGGATACTAGTTTGTCATGCTGAGGCGCGAAATTACGTGTAGAGCAACGAAACAACGAAAAAGCAAGCGAACGAATGCGAATGCAGCATAAGAGTGTGTTGAATTAGCTATCTAGGTGCTTCTAGCAAAACAAAGCGAAGAGGTCCTTTGTGTGGGCGGTCTGAGCGCCAGACACGTGACTACGCCTACACTAGTTGCCTTAACATGTCATGTACATCAACCCATTAACTATCGCATCTTTCAAATACAGTCACTGCTAGATCTGTGGTCGGCATCTAGTATGGCTTTATCATGAATTTCCTTCCTCGTCAATACAAAGATACGAACAGGACTCCACCCATTGCACTTCAATCAACAGCTCGTTACGCCATAATCAGGTCACATCGACATATAGCCAGGCTCTCTTGAATATTCGTAAAATGAACCAGTATACTGAGCTTCCATCAAGGGAAGCCGGACGCCGCCCCTGGGAAGCATTTCCTGAAAGTCTGGACTTTCCGTACATCAGATAACGCCAAGCCACATGTAAAACAAATGTTAACGCTACGATTCAGGGACACAGGTAGATGATGCAAGCCACAAGAACAAACACTTTTACTCTTTAGTGTCTATTCACGGTGTAATCCACTGCTTGATAGGCGTGTAGGTAAGAATCATAGCTCTGTTTGAAGGTTGTGGGACGGGCTTTGCCAAGGATGGTTTGAGTGCTCAGACTCGCCATGAGAATGGATATCTACGCTTGTTAGGGCCCTTGTAGCACCTCTATCTTTGTGAACTTGTTACTTCTCGTATAAGAAGGAAGAGGAATGAATTAGACATCAATAAAACATGGGAACATGCGTGAAGATATTCGCAATGAAAACAGTTGCTATCATTCTGGGGTAGGATCAGTCATCTTGACTGTTGTCTTATCTTCCACAAAGACATTCGCTTTAACGATAAGCTGGCGATAGTCAGGAGAGGTAAAACCCCCACAGAAGTATACCGCTGGATACCTCATGCTCATAATCCGGTGGCCATTGAGGTGGACACTGTCAAAAGCTTGGGAAGAATCTGCATCCATATCTGGGTTCGACACATCGAAAACTCCTCCGAGCTCATGCAAGTTGCAAAATACTACATGATGGTCGTCCTTTGATAGTCTCACAGAGAGTTCTGCGGCACGCTGATATGCTACTGTCAGACTCCGCTCTGTAAGCGCGACTGATTTCTCGTCCGGTGAAGTTTTTAAAAGGGGCCCCAGTAGTTTGTGAGACATCACTTGCTTGACCATATTGTTGATCATGAGGTTTCGGCGGGCGATCATGCTCTTGGCGAAATTGCTTTGATCAGCACGGACGTTGGTGCTGCAAAGACGGGCTGTCCATAGGCGCCATGATTGAGCTAGAAACCCTTCCTTGCCATCTGAAAATAACAGTAAGATATTACGGAATCGCTGCCTAACGGAGAGAAGGGTTACTTACCAGTGTCGAACTTTTTAAGTAGCTCATGAAGTCCGGTACCGAAGCGAGTAGCTCGTGGCAGAACGTCCTCGTCAAACTCGGTCCCTTCTCCTGGATGAGGCACAATGTACCAAAAGGGGTTCAGAAAGAAGCGTTCAAGACAGTCCTTGACAAGGAATATGGTCACGATCTCCGTTCCAAATATATCACCTAGTTCAAGAGCACCAAGGATTTCATTCAAGTCAAGTTGGGCACAGTAGCCATCCAAACTTTTGACGAGATCTTTCTTATAGTTCGCGGAAAGACCGTCCAAGACGGCCGTTTCCTCATGAGCGTGGAGTCTTGCCCAGTTTTTTAGGAGGGCCCAAAGACCGAAGAACTCTTTCTCGTAGTAGTCATGCGATCTGCATTCCCAGCCGCTAGGGTCAGCGGCCAAATACTGGTTTTTGTGTAGTGCCTCAGCTGTCCAATCCTCCAGACAGTCTACCCGTTCTTTCATTCTTTCGTATTGTGCTTTCATATCCTGGCATTGCTCCTTCAGCCTAGCGGATTGCTTTGTACTGCGATGGTGTTCATCTTGCAGTAATTGGTGCTTCGTTTTGAGCTTTTGATGTTTTCTTTTCTCCCTCGATAATTGCTTATACGTCTTCAGATGTTGTTTGCTCATCTTTTGCTGTTGTCTGTTTATGTCTCGATAACGTCTGTTCAACTTCCGATCTTGTTTCTTTGATCTTCGATACACTTTTTGCTTGAGGTTTTGGTCCGGTTCCCTCGAAGAACCGACATCATCTGGTGGCAATTCCTCAGCAAACGGAACAAAATTTGATCGCTGTTCCTCCACGGTCTCTTCATTGTTCGTTGGCTGTTCCCCAGGAGACTGGACGTCGTCTGGTATCGGTCCCTCCGCAGACTCGTTATTGTCCGCGAGCTGTTCCTTAGGAGTGGCGATATCAGTTGGTGGCTGTTCGATAGGGCACTGCGTATCGTCCGGTGGCGGTTCCTTCACAGACTTGACATTATCTAACATTGGCAAGGCTTTAGATTTGGTACCATGACGGACTTCTGTTTTCGAATCCTCCATGGCTCGAATACGCTTCGATCTCCGAAATTCGACGGCGTGTAGATGTCCCTCGCCGATTCCATCTTGTGTCCCATCCGAGGACGGCTTGTAGGATGAAGATGCTGATGGGGCAGGGGCAGAGGACTCCTGGATGTTAGATCTCGGGGGCCATTGGAGGGAGGGCGAGATAGACAGATAGAGTCACGTGCTCAGTGTACGTACTTTTGCATTAGCCTTTGCGTTGTGTTTTGCCTTGTTCCTTGCCATCTTGGCTGCCATTGTAGATAGAAGGTGATATGACCACCTCTCTAACTGAGCATTGGATAAGGCGGCGGCCTTGGGTGATGGTAGAGATAGCTTGAGGATGAATGAAGGTGTGTAGAACTGTACTACCCGGGGAACGCGGAAGGGTTGGGAAATGAGGGGAAGGTGGAAGAGCGCACAGTGGTGCACAAATGTAAGACAAAAGAGAGGCTAGACCAGAATTTGGCTGCATCGATGCACAGACTGTAATTTGTCCGACAGCGTTTGGCTCGATGGCACAGTCTGACATGGCGTCTCATTGTTGATCTTTTGTCTATGTGGTACAAAACTCGTCAGTTCCGGGCGCCTTTCTTTCAGCTGGCTGGGGCCGTGTTCTTTGTCAAATTGGGGCGGAACGAGAAGATGGCCTAAAAAAAAAAGAGTAGGGGCAGCCAAGACGGTTTGGACGCCACGGACTTCATCGCGGCATCAATACAAGCTCCTATAGATTGAGTGCAAGAAAGAGTGGCCTTCCTCATTGCTTATGTTTGCGATGGATAACGATATGGGAACGTTGAGATCATATTGCCACTGCCCTGGATCAAGCACACACGCACTCTGTAACCCATCGAAACGGGACAAACAAATACTACAGATACTTATGCGTGTATTGTATTCAGCAAACGTAATTCATGCAGCGAAGACGCATGAAACGAAGAAATTCCAGCGAAGATTATGGATTACAGAAATAACTGTTGTGCTGCCATCGAAGAGTGACTAGGATTGCTTGCAGTATAACCACCGACAAGATTTTCGTTTGGCGTGACCATTATGTGGAAGTGTCTAGGGTGAGTGCACCACCTTGTGTAGATGAGTAGCTGCCAGTGCATCATCATATGATCCTGCACCTTGGATAGGAACTAACTGTGAAACCGCGAGCCACTATATAGGGAGGTCTTCGGGATATGTCTGCCTCTGACATCCTAACACTGGGAATCGAGAACAACAAAAGGATAATTCGGTTAACTAGTACGCTTCACTGCGACAGTCTTTTATTCGGACGTACTTTTACATTCTCAAGATGCCACTGAGAGTAGCGGAAGATGGAAAAATCATGGTCGGTGTCGACTTCGGCACGACCTACACTGGCACGTTATCCTTTCCAAAAATGCCATTCTCTTCTGAAATATAACACGTTGCTGACACGCAATACTCACAGGGGTATCCTACTCCTTGAGGAGCCTTGAAGTGCGAGGAGGGGAAGATAATGATCACCTCATTGATGAGTGGCCCGCTGCCAATTCCAGGGAAATAACTGCAAGTAAAGTCCCCACGATCGTCCAGTACGAGCATAAAACCGTGAGAGGTATCAAGACACTAGAGGCGACCCGGTGGGGGGCCCAGGTACTGGCGAGCAAGGAAAACTGTTCATCTCTTTTCAAACCGTTGCTTGAACCTAACTTTGATCGAGATCATGATCCTTATGCGTTTTGGAATTCCACAGTCGGTCACGGGGGTTTTTTCTTACCGGAAGCCAAGGAGCCCTCCGATGTCATAAAAGACTACCTGGATTGTGTCTGGAAGTATTCAAGCAAAACTATTTTCAAAAATACCCGCCAAGGGCCTTCCTATCACCCGGTACACTACACTATCACTGTACCGGGAATCTGGGCAAGGGAAACCCGCAAGGCGCTGGAACGGATCGTCAAGGATGCCGGGCTAGCAACGAAAACAAATGACATACTGACTATGATTCCGGAGCCCATAGCGGCAGCAGTGGATATCTTTAGAAAAAAGGCGGATACATTCCAGGTACGCTATGGTAGATCCCACTGCTACGATGTCGGTAATGATAGTTGACAATTAGCTAATAAATTAGGGTGACGTCGTCATGCTCGTATGTGATATTGGCGGAGGAACTATCGTGAGCTTTACCCTTAATTTCGTTATGTCGTTCTTTATCATTTTTTACTATGTTTGGTGCCCCTATGGTTATAAATCACGCCTGAAATCCTGGCATACATAGGATGTAGGATCGGTCTTCATCCGTCAAACTGAGTTTGGCCGCTATATTCGGCAGCTCGAGCCAACCCGAGGTATTCACATTTTGCATAACTCATTACCAACGAAGCTAATCCATCATACCAGGGGACCTTGGCATGTTATCAGTGGAGGCGGCTTTCTACAGAACAATGTATGAGAGGTTTAAGGACACATTCAAAAATCAGAACACGGAGTCCATAGGTCCAAGTAGTGCCTGGATTCGCGAGTTCCGGGATTGCTTTGAGAGATTCGCCCCCGAAAACCTAGAGGAGCACGGCTGGGAATGCCGTTTGCCGTTCTGGTCACTACTATCGTCTAATAACCCGGACTTTTACGACCGTCGCCGGAAGGAAATATTCCTGTCCGCTCGAGACATACAAGCGTTTCTCGACCCTGTCATTGATATGGCGGTAAGTCTGATCAGCGAACAGCACCATGCTGTAGCCACAGCCGGATTTGGTGGTAAAAAGCAGGCAAGTATTTCCTGGAGCCTAGGCAGAAAACACAATGGAGACAATCGTAATTGACAATGGACGTAGCATGCTTACTTGGTCGGAGGTGGGGCAGAAAATGCCTACATCTTACGGTCAGTCAAGCGGAGGATAAAGGATAAACATGCGCTAGATGTCTACACTCCTGACAAGCCGTACGTTGATCAATTATTTGACGACGTTGGTGGAGATTGTAACTAATGTTTGTTAGGCAACTAGCCGTCGTCAATGGAGCCGGAGTTTAGGGCCTCGATGACGTGCTATCTATCCACAAATGTCCCCAGCATATCGGGTTTGAATGTGCCCAGCAGTATGACGCAGACAGACATGGTCAGCCACGACCGGAGGTCCTTACACGAGACCCTGTGGACGGTAGAGACATGGTTACCGGGGCGGCGATCTGGGTGTTCGATATGGTAACTACAATTCCTCGCGTTCCGACTTTGGTGCGTGTCTGCTAATGATGTGATGAATAAAGGGGAGGACATATCATGACGGTGCAGTGGAAACAGAAAATGTTACGGAATACTTTCTTGACAGCGAATTTGGAGACCGCCATAAGAACATATTTGTGTCAAGGGATCCACGGCCACCGGCTTTTGTGACAAGTAAGTCTCCTTTTCTCCCCTTTTTTCCTTTCAGTTCTTTTTCTTTCTTTAATTGTAGACCATTACGAAATGTTGTGCAACACCGGGGAAGCGGAACTCTGCGGCGAATAAGCGGAGGGCGTTTAGAGAGGCCTCGTGATGTCTCACACCTCGTTTCTGTAACCCACGATATTGATTGATCAAATCTCGGCCGATTACAGGATGGACTGTGTCAACTCGCAGGCTGGACATGTCGGTCGGGATTATTGCGGATAGTTGCTGAAGCAGATGTCTTTACCGCCTCTGTGCATCGTTTGGGGCAATGCACTGTATGTGAGGAACCCATTACTGCACTTGGGAACAGGCCTGCGAATACTTTCTTCTATATTCAGTGTAAATTTTTCTTGGTTCGTGGACATTCACAATCACGCGACTATCTGACTTGACACCAGCACGAATTTATGGATAATATACGAGCGACACCTGATAGCCTCTGCCTAGCTGTCATCTTCTTCTTTCTTTTTTTCTTTCTTTCCTTTTTTTTTTTTTTTTAACTGGGGGTTTTGACTTTATTTGATCTCATTTTTCTGTTTTATTTATCTACTTGGTCGTGTTCTGTTCTTGTCTTTTCCCACCCCGTGCCGGAGTATATAGTCAACCTTAAAACTATTTTTATCACCGAGGCAAGACGGGAGGACAGCTTACTGTAGGCTTATTCAGGATCCGAACGTAGCTCATCTACCTGTGGCTTGGGCTTGCGGCTATTGAGTAAATGCGCACTGCTTTATCTCCTCCGTGTTTACGATAGTCGTTGAGTGTTCTGTAATGAGACATAGCCCATCCCATGGGGTGGCAGTGTAATTTACTTCCTCCGCCATAGCAACATACTACACAGGGCTTTCAGTTAACAACACCAGTCTTTTGTTATGACCACGCCATATAGTGTCCCCGATGGGGCCATCTTTGAGGCTCTCGACGAGTCGAAAAACCGGACTCGAGACCCCAGACATGTGAATCACGTGATTGTCCGACATCCCAGATTGTCCACATCCCGATCCTTCCTTCTATTGGCTGGCGTGCTGCCGGATGTCCCCGGAACCTCAAAACTGAAGCAGCAGCCCTGAGGTGAACGAACCCCTGCAACGATTTCCCCCAGCCGTTCCAATTAAGCGGGGACTTGATCTGACAAGCAATTGACAGGAGATCGATCATCCAGCACATCCGCTCCATGGCAATCTTTTCTCGTTCCTGTTGTCTGGTGATGGGATCGAATTACTGATCAGGTTTTTCCCTCCCGGTCCACCCTGCAGCCTGCGGGGTGCCGATGATGGGGAGAGTGGCGGCGAAAAGACCCTACCAGTCGCAGTCTAGACTAATTGAGGGCGAAGCCTCCTTCAACTCTGGATAGTGAGCTCTCCAGGGTCGGCCCGGAAGATGACAGGATGCCAGGCAATTGGTTGCAAAGAGGCGGTCTGGCCAATGCATCTCCCCCTCCCTGCCGAATGCACTGTGCGCCCCAATCACTGGCCTTCACAGCGGATTGCCGCCTAAAATTCACGGATACCTGCTGCTTCAACCTTTCACAACCACCACCACCACCACCACCACCACCACCTCTTTTCATTCACAACGCACTTGACTGCACCGGGCTGACCTGGATGGGCACGGTCCTCCTCTCCAGATGCTGGCTGCACTTTTATCTTCTCACTTATCGCTTAATGCAGCCCTGTTTTTTCCGTGCAAGTAAGAAGATCAAGGGGATAGATGAGAGGAGAATGGAAAGCGCATCATGTGAAAGTTGTCAATTAAGAATACTATTCAAGCCTCCAGTAACAAATCTAAGTGTACAAGATGAATCTCCTACTCCGCCGTCCAAGATCACCAGACATCCCGACTAGGGAATTAGTGGAGCACGTGTGGTAAATTCTAGAACCCCAAGGCAAAAGGGGGCGGCCGCACAAAAAGCCCGGCCTGTGATGCCCTTGGAGACTTTTCTCCTTTCTCTCATTTTTCTCGTCGACCATGCGCTGTGAGTGTGTTTGTATTTCACGGGTATTGTGTGCATAGTACCGGCCATTGCAGTGGTGTGGTGATCCATGCTCTGCTACTAAGCACCCTGGCCAGTTTCACGAGCAACAGAGTGTCAGACTCGGTGGAACACTCTAGCTGACCACGCATCATAAGCTGCTTTGGTTTTCAGGGTCTGCAGCTGACCGTGGCCTTCGTCACGCCGCTCCGACAAATGCTGTCTAAACTGCTCTACAACATTCAGGAGCTCCCGCCTGACCATCGCGTTATCGCGGGACAGCGGCACCGGCGCTTGCTCTATTACGTAGCCCATCTGGCATCATGGACCTTCAACTTTTATCTCGTCCTTCGACTAGCTCTGTGTTTCTCTGCCGTGCAACAAGATTGGCGAATATGGCTAACTCTGTTGGTCGAGATCGTCCTCGCCAGTATGTCTATACCACCGTGAGCTGCCGTGTTTCGGCATTCCGGCTCCCTTCCTGAGCAAACGAGGACGCGCAAGCTAATATGCTGTCAGATATTTGGCGCCATGATCAGCTTCTTACCTTATTAGGTGGCTCGGCATCAGATGGCCAACCACGCAAAAGACTGCGATTACACGGCGTCGACGATCTACCGCAGGTGGACATTTTGGTGCCCTGCTGTGGAGAACCAGTCGACATCATCCTAGACACCGTGCGCGCTGCCTGTACGATGGACTACCCGACTTCCAGCTTTCGGGTCCGTGTACTGGACGACGGTGCTTCCACAGAGCTCGAGTCTGTCATTGCATCACTGCGTACCGAATGGCCTCACCTCTTCTACCACACCCGGGGAAGGCAATCCGGTAAAGTCTTCGCCAAGGCTGGTAACATGAATTACGCCCTCTACACCCTGCAAGAGAAGGCGCCACCTGAGTTCTGTGCCATCTTCGATGCAGACTCCATCCCCATGCCTCACTTTCTGAGGGCGACGTTGCCCCATCTCCTCCAGACCCCGGAAGCAGTGCTCCTCACCACCCGGCAGTACTTTTACAACCTCCCATCAGGTGACCCCCTGTCTCAATCACGCCTCCATTTCTACACATGTGAAAATGCAGAGCTCGATCGTCGGGGCCTTGCTCAGGATGCAGGCTCTGGGGCCCTTTTCCGGCGACAAGCCATCATCGATGCCGGCGGATATCCAACGTACTCCTTTTCCGAGGATTGGCAGCTCTCGCTTGTTCTGAAGGGTCTAGGCCACCGCACCATTCAAGTCCAGGAGCCACTACAGTATGGATTGGTTCCGACGTCCCTGGATGGACACATTGCACAGCGCAACCGGTGGCACATTGGCCACTCCCAACAGCTTCGGGTGTTGATGCCGCCCACAAATGAGACGCTTCCCCGCTCACTGCAGTGGAGTATTGCATGGAATGGCATCTTCATCATGGCTGGGGCAGTTGGCTGTTTGATCACGTTTGCGATGGTTCCATTGCTTCTGGTGTCGGGTCAGCTGGTCCCAGACGTTTCGCCACTGCTGGCCAAAGCACAGTTCCTCTTGGCTGTCCTCCACATCGCCTTAACCTGGGCGTATGGACTTTTGCAGAGTGCACATACGGGATTCGAAAGCTTTCCGTTCTCTCGTTTTGAAAATATTTGGCTGGCTGGAGGTAAGATACACATTGTTTGTTTTTGTTTTTCTGTTTTACACCCGCGTATCGTCGTTGCCCGTTCTATTATGGTCATGAAGGGGGTCTGGATTTCAATGCCACTACTCTGTTCTAACATTTTCCTCACATTGCATCCCTCCATGAAGATTGAAGCTCTCTCTTGCCTTCCACGTTGATTCAAGACATAACTAACAACAACAGCACACATCCACGCTGTCGCTCGATTCCACCTTCTAGCCAGCCGACCAAAAGGCTCCTTCGTGACTGGCAGCAGCGCCAACTCATGGAATCGCAGCGCGACCCCGACATCCCTCCAAAAGCTCTACCACAATCTGTGGCACAACGGGATCGCATACAGCGTTGTGATTCTGCTTGCCACTATTGCATCCATCGTCTACTCGATCTACTCGGCCATCACAACCACCGACGATGGTTTGCTATCCCGCTTGCTCACCACAATTGCCTGGCCGCCAATGCTTCACATCTGCTACCTCTCCATCGCCAGTTACTGGGCGCCCGTCTCCTATTTGCTGAACCCGCCGCGGTATCCGGAGCGGAAGGCTGGCTTGGCTCTGTCGGAGACGGGCGTGGTACTTCCGAGTGCGGAGGTCCAGAAAGCTGCTTTGGTGCGTGGGGAAGCGCCGGTCGGGTTTTATCGTCAGTGCGTGGTGGTTGTGTTGGTTCTGGGTGGGTTGCTGTTGGGTGGATTGGCGTTGTGAGTGATAGAGATGGATTGGTTGGGTTGCTAGATTAGATTGCGAGTAGACGTGGTGGTGTTAGGTGGTTTGAATATGAAAAGGCTTATGAATGACCCATGAAAGAGTTCGATGTGAAGCAAACAACAACTGGTAGGATCCGCCTGTCTAATTCACGTTTGATACTATATACACCATCGAAAAACAATGAATCTACACTTCGTAGATATAGCCAGAGAGCTCAATATTCCAATTCAACTTCATCTAAGTCAAAACCGATCTAAGCACCCATGCGACGAGACAGTGTATACAATACAACCCATGTAATACAATACCGTTACCATCTTAACTCGACCCATCACAACCCTCAATCAATTCCTCATCCCATTCCTAGCAAATCTACTCCACCAACCTCTCCACAAACCTCGACTTCGCTCTCAACCTCTCCCCAAAGTAATAAATCCCCAAGAGTCCCAAAACCCCCAACCCACTCACACCCCCAAGCACACTCGACCCCCTCGCCATGCCCAGATTCTTATACAATGGGATCCCGAAATGCACGGCTCCAGCAGCCAACGTACTCCGACAGAAGTCATTGGCTGCAAACAGACTCGCCGCGTACTCGGGATATATACTAGGTATATACATGGACAGACACTGCAGGATGATGAACACTGCGCTAGCGTACATTGTCACGCCGATGATGCTGACGATCCAGTGGATAGAGGGGCGGAGGGTCCAGCCGTAGAGGAAGAGGGAGATGGGGACGAGGAAAGTAGCTGGGATGGCGGGGATGAGGTGTCGTTCGTGTTTTGTAGGGGGTGTGTGGGTTGAGGTGGATTTTGGAGAAGTGTGGTGATGGTGTTTTCGGAGGTAGTTTGGGAGGGAGAGGTATGTGAAGTAGGCTGCTACTGCGAGGAGGCAGCCTACTAGGACGGAGAGGTAGAATAAGCTGAGGGTTGTAGTGGATACATTATAGACGGGTGGGTAACCGATGGGGAAGGCGTCGAAGAAGGTATAATACGTGCCGTAGATGAAGGAGGTGTAGATGTTGGCGAAGAGAATGGCAGGGTCTTGGAGGGTAATTTGGACGGGTTTGACGAGGTAGAATTTCAGCTTGGCGAGGGGGTTGTCACTTTCACTAGTATTGTTGTTGTTCTGGTTGTTGCTGGTATTGAACGCACTGCTGCGGTATCGTATGGTCGGGGCGTAAGTTTCAGGCAGGAGGAACAGCAGGACGCATACCGGGCCGGACATACAGGCGAGGAGCCACATGGTCCATTTCCAGGAATTGTTGTTGACCAGGCTGTTGGTGAGCAGGGGTCCGAGAGCTGGACCGCAGTACGCTGCAGCTACCCATAGAGCGAGGGCGTAGGGGAACTGGGATTCGGGGTACAGATCGTGCATGGAGGCGCCGCCGTTGGCGAGGCACGGGCTGCCGAAGAGACCCTGCATGAAGCGAAGGAAGACGAATGCGCTGTAGTTGGATACTTCGGCGGCTCCGATCGTGACGAGGATGAATGCTACGAATGTACCGAAGTAGACGACCGAGCGTCCGATTCGGGGGATCTCGCTGAGCGGGCCCCAGAGGAGGGGTCCCACGCCGTCTGTTGAAGTGAGTATAGGGTTATGGGGTAGCATTGCATGGGGTGAGGCGTACACCCGAGCACATAGATGGACAGCCCTAACATGGCGCGTTGCTCGGAGAGGTGCAGCTCCTGCATTACCAATGGGACGGCGGTAATGAACATGGATGACCCGGAATACACCACGAAACTGTACTTTTAGATAGGTACTCTTTTTCGGGGTGTGATTGGGTTAACTTACGTGTAGATGTATACTACGAGAGATGTGATGACTCTCTTTGCGAGAGGCCAGTTGTGTGGATTCTCGCGACTTGCTGCCCAGTCCTCGACTGTAAGTGTCTTTTCTGAGTCGGATGAGTGTTTTCGCCGGTGGGTATGTCCGTCGATCTGTTTGGGTGTCTCTTGTCTGACATGGTGCTCTGTGTGATCAACACTATCGGGTTTATGCAAAAAGGATCTCACAAAGACAATGCAAGGTATATCCGGCGACATTTTGACAACAGTTCACAGACAAGATAGTAGGTGGGGTAAAGGGACAGTCAGGTAAGTAATACGGGAATATTGGAAATATAAAGTACCCGAAGATGCATTTTATCGCCACGTCCGAGGTACAAGCACGCTTCACAAAACTCAATCCAACAAAGTTGTGTAGCTTACCATTGAGACACAGCATGATCCACGTGTAGGAATGCGGTATGACATGTGTCTTTCCCGATGTGGTAATCGACCACCTAGCTGGAACAGTGCAACTGACCCTGGTACAATGAAGTCTATACAAGGTTTGCTGCATCATGGTGAGGAATGTGGGTCCCTGTCAGTGTGACAGGTTCACCTCCTCGTTAGTCTCGCAACACCTTCCACAGCAGTGGCACGGTGGCCTCGGATGCTTGCATGCGCATTGACAAGGCTAGAAAGCTTAGCAGAACGACATCTCCTGCCGGATCTTACCTAGAGGGCGCTCGGCCCTTTGCTAATATATTTTGGGTGAAGACTTGCGACCCCAGACTGAGATCGGCTTTATGAAATAGTCATCTCAGAATGCAGATCATCTTCTCACTTGTTTTGGCGGTGACTACCCTGCTGAACTGCCAAAGCCTGGAGTGCTCGAATACCTCATCACCAGTGGCGACCGACTCTCTGAAGAAGCATGGTGTGGTCACTGCGTCCTCAATCTACCGCGTGTATTACCTCGCAGTGGGCCTTTTTCACGCTCTACTCGTCACTCTTCCACAAACACAGCAGCAAGCGCTTTGCCCGAACTTAGAGCATGTCCGACATGATCACCTTGCTCTCACTCACAAAACCACAACTGCTCTCGCATTGATCTGCCTCGGTAGTTGCATTCGTATCTACGCCTTCTGGCAACTAGGCTCATGCTTCACGTTTTATCTCTCAAAGCCTGATCGTCTTGTCACTACGGGCATCTATCGCCACGTTCGTCATCCAGCATACGCTGGATTAGCCATCCAGGCCCCTGCAGTGTTGTATTTCTGGGCAAGAGAGGATGGTGTACTTGCATGTTTGATGTCAGATTTACCACTATTGCCTGTAGTGACCATCGTACACTGGTGCTTCTGGGCTGTAGCTCTGCCAATGATCGGATGGGTACGTATCAAGGAAAAGGAGGAACTGCTAGAGAAGACGTTTGGTCAACAGTGGAAGGAGTATCGTCACACAACACGCATGTTGGTGCCGTTCCTCTTTTAAGTAGGGATGGGCGGGCCGGAGTGGGTCATGCCATTTTTGAAGATGCTTGCATATGGTAGCGGTACACGCAACCACCGTGTTCCTTGGGACTAGCGGTAATCGGCTGGAAGCTCTTGCATGACAGTTTCGTTATGGATGAAAGTAGTTTCCTAGCTATAACTAGTCTTTTAATGTAAGAGGAACTACCCCTTATGATGACTGCGATGCCGTGTTACGATGGCACCACCGTGATAATTACAATAAAATATATGTCCAGTGCCAATTTAGGCAAGTTCTTTGCTCTCTACCACCAGTCATTGGTTGCTCATTCTGCGGACATGCATATTCAATGTATAGTATATGATATCTTGGTTCAGTTGTTAATCAACTTGGTCTGAGAGCTCCGCTGGCAGTGGTATTTAGGTGCTAACACTCGTCGGCTTAAGCCTGAATATATATTTCGGGCTACGCGTCGCGAGATCATTGACAAAATAAACACTAAATGGATGTTATACCTTTTCGCAGAATAGCATTAGGACTGCGTCTTCTCTAATAGTATTGCATCTAACTGTGTTGAGCATGATGCAACGCTAAGATCGCTGACATTCGCTTAGAAGCAGCTGGCATGTTCTGGGATTACCCCGGCCTCATAGACTAAAATTTGAGATGTCACGACTCAACAGATCATCAGATACTAGTAGCAACCTGAGACACCTTGACTAACAGCTACTCTACTCCCTCCCGTGCACAATAATACAATGCCCCAGTTTCGGTCAACGGCCGAGGGCGCTTCCGAACCATCGGAATAAGAGTGCCACTCAAACTATGGAAATAGACTCCGGCACCCGACCGAGGCGTGGCAGCTTCCGTGGTGCACAACCGTGCATTTAAATCCGAGCACAGAGACGCGCACATACCATGTTGCACCATGCGGGCTCATAGATAACCTGTTCGGAGCCGGGCCAGCAGGGTCAAAATGCCGAGTGACATCACGGACACGAAAATGGCACCGCTACTCCGGACCCCAAGCTGACTTCGCTACCAAACTGCCACACCAAGCCTCGGGGTATTCCCGTCTCATATAGAGCAAGTGGTAGCAAGGGCACGATGATAGCACAGACAGGCATCTCCACAATCAATGCGGTCGGTTGAAGGATGATCCCCACGGCCAGCCATCGGCCGTAGCTTATCTGGCAATTCGGCTCTCTCACTGGCCGATCAATTCAAGTCGACAGAAAGATTTTGCAAATAATTTCCAGAAGCCTTCTTTATCTCGGCTAAACGACCCACAATTCTGCGGCGCCCCCGAGTTTGCCGACCGACCATCACCATTTCTGCATCCCGTTTCATCCCGATCGCGCCTCTCCAGCCCTAGACCGGGGCCTCTCGATCACAAAAACGTCCCCTTCACCACGCGATCAATTGCATGCAATCCTTTCTTATCTTTCCTATCTTTCTCTGACATGCTGCAGAAACAAACCACTTATCTCGATAGCAGCAGCAGTCATCGCACCCCCTCACCCAAACGAACCATGGTGGTCACTTATCTCCCCGAATATGAAAGCGACGAAACACATCCCCAGCACCATGGGCTCGAGCCCGCCATCCCGCCGTTCGCGGGCCGCATGGGCGGAAACCAGGATTTCGTGGTTGATAGGACGGACCCCAAGAACTCAAAGGTGCTAGAGAAGGTGCCCGACGCAGCACCGTGCATGACACTAAAAGAGATATTCGACTTGCGGGGGTTCCTGAGCGTGGATCTATGGAAGTTTGCTGTGCTAGAATGCATAGGTAATTCCCCCGCATACTCCGAAGTCCTACCCCATACCAAAGATGAGCCCCAAGCTAATAGGTGTATAACCAACAGCAAGCATGATGAACGTTTTCATCACCTGCTGGGTAACAACTCACCCACTCTCCGCAACAACATCTCCCAAAGGCCAAGCCGGCGTCTACGGAACAGTCACCTTCTTCTCCCCAACATTCGGCGGCCTCACCAACCTCCTCCTCACTCCGCTGCTCATCTACACCTTCTCTCCCTCCAGCGGTGGCCACATCAGCCCCACAATTACTCTCGCCACCTTCTTCGCCCGCATTATCACTTTCCCGCGCATGATCCTCTACTTGGCTGGCCAAACACTGGGAGGCGCACTCGCCGGCTTCGCCATGCACTCCGCGTACGGCACGCGTGAATTCACCGTGGGAGGATGCCACATCGACTCGACCATGGTGTCTGCAACAGATGGACTAGTCATTGAGTTCTTTGCGTGCCTTATTTTGATTTTCTTGGCATTTGGTGTTGCCTTGGACCCTAGACAGGCCAAGGTGTTTGGTCATGCTGTTTCGCCGTGGCTGGTCGGTGTTGTGTTGGGAGTTGTTACGTGGGGAACGGCGTTTACGAGGGAGGGGTATATTGGTGCTAGTGAGTATTCTACTTCTCGAAATTAAACTACAGTGACTGACAAGCTGCAGGCGTTAATCCAGCGAGGTGTTTCGGCGCTTATGTGGCGAGTGAATTCCCGACGTATCATTGGATTCATTGGGTGAGTTTCATGTCCAGTGGCCCTATTTGGATTAGAACCATGTACTAATAATACTAGGTTGGTCCCCTGGCTGCAGCGGTGGCGCATGGGCTGGTCTATTTCGTCGATCCCCTCTGGAAGGATCCTCGTGCGGAGTAGAAATCTTCTTATAGTTTATGGTTACGGAGTGTCGGATTGTATATAGAAGTGACGGATTTGTACAAAGTGTATTATATAGACCTGTGAATACTGCCAAGAAGGCTTTCCGAACATCTGCCATGTTGAAGTGACAGATGCGATGACCCATTCTGACTACATACTTGCTGTGCTGTTGTAGGAAACGTATCATCAAAGACGAGCACAGCAGCCCTTTCCATTAACCGCAGACAAGCGACAATAACACGAAGTCGAGATAGGCACATCGGCCGACCCCAACGCAATATCCAATTGCACCTGGACAACACGAGCCTCATCCATCTTCCCAGAAGCCACCAGACACTCATGCAGTCCATGCAACCCCCACACATTATTCAATCGGCCCTTACGCCGCGGAAACCCCTGCGCCATGCCCAGGTCCTCCCGGAAGACCTGCTCCGCCTCGGGGACCCGCTTCTGCTCCAGCAGCAACCCACCTAGGGCATGCCGCACGGGCTGCATCCACGCCGGCGGGTCACAGTACGCCAGGCCATCTTCTAACTCAATCGCCCGTCGCAGCGTTGCAAAGGCTAATCGAATATTCCCCTTGCGGTACTCCAACCACCTGTTAACATCAAAGATGCGACGGCAAGGAAATCGACCTGCCGAACAGGCAAATTATTTATCCGGATTCTCGGCACCCGCTTGCGCGCCTCCTCGAACTGCTGCCGGGCGACTTCTGCCTCCTGGATACGTCCAAGGGCGCTGAAGGCGAGGCCCCTGGCGTATAGAATGTTAGCTGTCTTGCAGCAGTATAAAGCTCGGTCCTGTGGTGCTGGTAGTTCTAACTGTAGAATTTCTTCCCAGCGACCGAACCGCACCAGGACGTGCGCGTGACTGCCTAGAAAGCTCTCCGTCCAGTCTGCCATTGGGGGTGGTTTAGTAGCCAGTAATTTCGCATCAACCACCTCGTCCAATTTATCCGCAGCCAACATGGCCTCCCGCGACCGACCAGACATCATAGCGCAGTACAGCTTCGTGACAATGTTATGCACTCGATAGGCCACATAAAGCGGAGATGCATCCAATGTGGCGAAGAACATATCATCGCCTACAATAGCATCGTCACTGGAATTAATTGCCCGGCGATAGTCACCCACAGCCATATCAATATGCGCAGGCATGTGCACCATATGCGACGCATCCGGGATCATACGACGCAGTCTGTCTGCAGCAGGCAGGGCCACCTCAGGCGTAGCCGACATCTCCATGAGATGGATATACAAATGGCACAGGGCAGGATGCTCTCGACCCTCTAGACGTGCCATTGCTGTATCGATTGCCGCTTTGGCTTCGAGAGTATGAGAGCTGCTGGCTTCACCTGTGTTCATATACCACAGCTCGCGCGGATTAACGCAGATAAGCGCCTCAATGTACAATGATGCCACGTCGATATCCTCTGGGTAGGCTTCATACACGACGCGCATAGCATCTGCAAATGCCTGATTGTACTGTCTCATCTCAGTAGGTGCGGGAATGTTATCCGGGGTTGGGAACCGGGTGGCGATGGCTTTGAGCAACATGTGGAAGAGTGGGGATGCATGCGTAGCATATTTTTGGGCCGCATTGAGCGCATCCCATGCCTTTTGCACGGTGGCTAGGAGGCTGGGGATATCGAAGAAGCCCCAGGCTATATTGTAGTTCGGTCCGACGGCGTATGCAATGCCCCAGTAGGCTAGTGCGCAGGTGGGGTCGCATTCGACTGCTCGTTCAAATAATCGTGCTACTTCGCCGTGATTGAAGGAATAGGACCAAAGTAGACCGCGGTCGAACCATCGCTGGGCGGCTGGGGAGGATGTGGCCACGGGTCGGTGGTAAGAGCCAAGGTTGAAGTTTGGGTAGTCATCTGCCTGGGGCGAAGCAGCTTCGTTCCTGGAATTTGTCAGTGCGAGACTTTTGATATGGCATAGGCTTACTTGTTCATTGTAAGTGTTGTTTTGGGTGGGTGTTGTGGATGAAAGCCGTGACACAGCAGAAATCGGAGGATTTGAAACTACTATGGAAGGTGGAGACACATTATGGCTCATGAGGGGTCGTTGAGATACTGGGTAGGTAGGGAGTAGTGGGATGGAACACAGAGAATCTGCCAGGCACCCAGATTGGATGTTCTACATCGCCTAGCGATCGTCGGATCGGCTGCAAGGCTGTTATGATACGTCCTTGTGCCACATAGCTGGTTGTCAATCAACAACCCCTTGCGCTTGGTACTTGTAGCCGTCCGTTCGATGGGACTATGTCCCGAATGCCATTCTTTTTCATCGGATGTCCCAACAATATGCAAGGGAATTTAGAGCATGTCATTATCTGTGTAAAGATGGAGTTGCGCCTTGGATCATAAGGTATGCACGTATCACTTCAGATGTAATATCAGAATTGAACTGTTACTATAGTATAAACCCCTAGGTGTTCTGTTGAAGAAGTGGCAGCATCATCAAGCCAGTTCGCACTCAATAAGGCTCTCCACACCCCTCCGCACGGTCCATATCTTGGTGATCTTGAGACCGGCAGATTCCACCAGCGCCCGCCACTGCTTCTCCGTGCGTTCAGTCGACGCAAAGTCCGCCATCATGATAATGTCAAGACTGGTAGTTTCCCAGTATGCATTCGTGCTGGGGATAACATTCTCATTTAGCAAAAGCTTGCTGTGCCCCCGCTTCATAGCAGGAATGACATTGGCCAATATCCGACGACAGTCATCGTCTGTCCAGTCATGCAAAACAGAGTGCATGTAATACGCACGGGCGCCTGCATAAATGTTAGCCATTGCTTTAAATGGCTTTATACGGCACTTACCCTTGATCGGTTGTTCTGTAAAGAAGTCATGTGTCATGAGCTCAATAGCCGGATCCAGGTTCATGCTTCTGGCCTGTTCCACAACCTTAGGTAGATCTTGGAGAATAAGCCGACCTGACGCCTGTGGCCATTTGCGGCGGAATTCTGACAGGTCGTGTCCCAAGCTTCCCCCCATGTCGACAAGCAAGGCGTCATGATCACTGATATTTGCCTCGGAAACTAGCGACAACACCGGATAGAAACCAACATCCATCCAGCTCGGTCGTCCCTGGTGGTATACGGACATGTGATTGTTAAATTGGACGGCATGGATAGGGTTCTCAGTGAGGAAGTCGAAAAAGTGGAGTGGTGTCCTAAACCCACGCTGAAAAGCGCAATCTTTTCCGTCGCTGGGGTTTCGGTAGTTTGTTTTCTTGAGCTGAGCGGGGAGAGCAAGGACGCCATCAGTGATGCAACCAGTCCTAGGTCCAATTAATAATAAACATAGCCAGGATGTGAGTGTATCTTACATGCAAGGATAAGAATCACTGTATCTATTGCACATCATTGACATGGAGAATCCCGTACGACGGTATTCATCCGGACCAGTCTCTGTGATCACGCCCATGGCTGCGAGATGCTTCAGGATGCGGGCTGAGAAGTCAATTTCCATAAACATGATACCAGTGTAGTTACTTACCAAGCATGGTTGGATCGGCGCCGGTCGCTGTGGCAAGTTGGCCAGCTGTCTTTGGTTTGTCATCCTGCGATAGGGCAGTGAAAAGCCCCAGGTCGACTCCCGTTTCCAAAGCTGCATATAGTGTGCTCTACCTTACACCTTAGCGTGTTTGCACCTTTGCTTCTTAGTGATTATGGCTCACCTGAGACCAGCAGTGTCGGATGATGGCTTCTCGGGGAGTCTCAAGAGCGTAGACCAATGATCGCGCTGCATCGAGAATCTTCGTTCGCTCGTTCTCATCATTCTCTGTGAGGTAAGCCTCACCATGCAATGCTATGCGCTTAAGAAGAGTGGGGACCTCCTCAGGGGTATTTGGAGATATGGCAACGTTGTCATCGACAAAGGCCTGCTGTGCATGATCCTCCATCCTGCCGTCTGGCTGGCAGCAGCTATTGCCATTGGAGCTACCCTCTGCTGCACTTATCATGGTGGCTTATACTGTATATTGGGCAATTGATAGACCAGATGAAGGAGAATCTGTGAACGACAGGTCATATTGCGGACGACGGTTCTGTTATATCAATAGCGGATGGCCCTATGAACCATAACTTGGTGCCGTGGCCTATCGGAAGGTACAATAAAGAACAAGGCTTGAAACTTGAGAGGATGGTCAAGGTGGGAGAAACTATCCCAAAAGAGTATTTCGTGGCCGCCCTTACCGTGCTCCATTCCAAGCATCGCCCTCCTAGTTTAGGGGCTTCACCGTTAGTGGCACAACGTGGCGGGAAAGTACCGACAGGAGGATCGTGATCATCATTGGACGCGTACACGTACCTTTTTTGAAGCCATACCAGGGGGTAAATTAGATACTGGGTACATGGACAGATTGGGAAAGGTTCTTCCTCGGGTATCTACGGGTAGACCGTGCCCTTCTGAATCAAGTATCAACACATGCCGCCTAGACATTCATTCCTTCCATATTGGATATGAGCTGATACAGTCGGCAATAGGTATAACAATGTGCGACTTGGATCAAACTTCAAGAAACTCCACTACTGCACAGTACCTGACAGATGGAGCCTTGACACGGGAGCGTAGCAAACTATCACAATAGCTAGGACACACCATTGCTGTTGGTCTGACTTGGCGGTTGTCCATTCAGCCGGATGGGCCCAACGGCGTGACCCAGCCCGCTGGTGTAACTTGAGAATTGGAGTCCTTAAAAGGTCCAATATTCCTTTTAGAACGGGCTAGCGATCCTTCGGCGTTTGAGTGCTCCATTCGGAACCTTTCGTGGTCATACTGGCTGATTTGATAGTCTCCTAATATCTACACTTCGTTTTTGATCGTTGTATCCCGGTTCATAACTCTGGAGCAAGGACCAGCAAAAAGTACCACCTCACTATTGTATTACCCTTGAGGAAGCCTTATGACTGGTATATTGAATCAGACCCATCACAGTGGCTCGGGGTATAATGGTTATGTTAAGCTTCCTCTCAACGGCGTGGCGGCCCCACTACCCGTCTGTCAACTGACCATATGGATCCAGTCCTGCCAACGGGACATCCAGTTTGTCACTGTTCGCCTTGTCTATCCACCGGTGGCACGGATCTACTGCAAGGTTACCAGAATGGACGATCCAGGGCTAGCCAGACCAGCTAATCCCTGCCAGCATCAGCACCGTATTATGCCTTAGCCGCCACACGGCATTTGCGACCTTCCTGGCTCACCTTTAATCGAGAGAATTATTGGCTACCAATGCCAAAGAATGAAACGATTAATACACGGAAGGAGAGGTTACTGGAAGTAAGGGATGTCAATCAGTCATCGCAATTCCATTTCAAGGAGGATTTGATGTCACCCGCTCATCGAACAGATCGCCAAATGAAGGTGTAGGCTGAAATCCTTCGCTTGTCGGAATAATACTGCCGGCGTTTCCCTTGCATACCCTGCAGGTGACTGTAAATATCGGAATCCTTATTCATGCTACGATTTCCTCGTTCGATTGTGTGTCACGTCACGAACTCCTGTGCTACACGCAACAATGGCTTCGTCAGAAGATGGAAATGCCAGCGACAATAAAGGTCCGATGATTCTATCGGTCCTGTGGGCACTGACAGGTCTCACATCCGTTCTTGTCATAGCGCGTATGTACATCAGGACAAGTCTCTTGCACAACCTCGGACCGGACGACTGGTTGATCACAGCGTCTTTGGTATGTATGTACCATGCGAGGGATGCAACTACTAACTTCAACAGGTGATGGGAGTCGTCTACTGTGCCATAACGACAATAAACGTGGATATGGGATATGGGAAGCATGCATGGCTATTGAGCGAAAGGACTGTGGAACATGCCACATTTCTCAACTGCTTGAGCTTTCTTTTCGGAATCATCTCATTCGCGATTCCGAAGCTGGCGGTGACTGCGATGCTCAATCGGATCCTCAACCCAAGTATGACTCAGCGCATATGTCTGTGGACATTGACTGGATTCGCTGCGGTTGTGTCAGGGATATGCATCATTGTGCTGTTCACGATGTGCGACCCGCCTGAGGCGCTGTGGAAGACACATCTGGTGACAGAAGGCAAGGCAACCTGCAAAGACGTCTGGATTTTGATCGACTACGCAATATTCACTGGAGGTTGGTTCATGCGACCTATAATGTTTGGCAACAGCTGACAACCCAGCCCTATCCGCGTTTGTCGATCTGATGCTGGCCGTCTATCCGAGCACGGTGCTGATGAAACTCCACATGTCGTTGCGCAAGCGGCTCGCATTGTGCGCAGCCTTGGGTCTGGGCTCGGTGTAAGTATATGCATATTCATGAGGAATCAGCGACTAACCTAGCAGTGCTTCCGCAATGGCCATCGTCAAATGTACACAGTTGAAGGGGTTAGCCGACAAAACCGACTACACCTGTGAGCATACCCACCACCAGCCAAAGAGATATACTCACATCAACAGACGGCACCGCCGAACTCGTCATGTGGACCAAGTAAGACCATCTCTAGTATATTTCTACGAAAATAAATACAGACCTAACAAATGCAGCATCGAGTCCAACGTCGTCATAATCGCCTCCTGCATCCCGACCCTCCAGCCTGTTCTCGAACTCATCCTCGGTAAACGCACCACAAGCTCCTACAACAACAGTCGCAACCGCTACAAGGGGAGTTCACAACTGCCCGATTCCTCATACGACCATAGCAGGTTGTCGAAGCCGCGAAAGCCCGACTACGAAATCACAACGGTGGGAAGTCAGGAGAGCATTCTCCGGGAGGAAGACAACGGGCGTAATATTGAAAGCCATCCGATGGGAGCGATTCGACGAACGGATAATGTGACAGTGGAATATGAGAGCCGGTCTAGAGAGGATCCTGAGGACCCACGGGTGTCGTGGTAGTTTCTTATCGCTATAAAATTTTGTATACTAGTATTCTTATCTTAAAAGCATTTCTGTCACTTCTGTCCTTATCCGATCATCTGGATATTTTGGTTGGTTCCGTTTTTGACCTGCTCGACACAATGAACTAGCACCATCAAATCACAATGTCAATTAAATAGCGACAAGATCGATGCAGAAGACAGCATGCGAACATATCAAAGCATTGAAAGAGACAAAAAAAGTCAGCCCCCAGCGATTCGATCTATCAACTACCACAATCAAACTCTGAACACCAATCAATGCTCCCGTGCATAACTCACGGACCCGAAGCCACGCCACAACGAAACCAAAGTCCCACCTTCAATCTCACCACATTAACACAAACGAAACAAGCAATAACATAGAAAATAAAACTCCTTATTATATACCCAAGCTGCGCAGTATCCGATCCACAGCGTATGCATTCCTTGGAATAGAAACCTGGACGCCTGATGGACGGCTACTAATTCTACTCCATAGTGGAGCCCGGAATGGCCATCCGTCCAGTAGTGCCATGTGGAATAGATTGAGTCCGTTGTGCTATGCTATATGAGGAAGTAGTTTGCTTCTGAGATTAAGACAGCCTAAGAGTCTAGTACGTTAAAAGAAGGATAGGCGAGGTACTTTGGCAGATGTAAGAGAATGATCATGTTACCTATACATCTCTGGGTCCTTTTAACAATACACGATAATGTTTATGGATCTATTGCAAGGGTTTTTAAGAAGAAAATACTAAGGAGGGCTTCTTTGTTTGCCGAGTCAGTCATCTGGGGCACAGTTTGGTCATATATAGATGTATGCTTTAAGTTTCACCTATCTGTTCCTATTTCTGGGTAGTGTACAAAGTTCTAGTGAAAATATTGTCACTGCATACTGTGTGGACTGGTATCTTGAAAAGAAGTAAGTTGAGCCCGAGAAGGATTCTACACACCGTCTCGAGTTGAATCCTTCGGGATTTTCTCGGCATCGGGCATTTCCAAAGCACAGTTAGGCTTGACTACTAGATCTTTTGGCTTCCTTCACTACTAGCACCCAGCATTGACCATTTGTGGGGTACATTGGGTTCTCATTCTACATCCATCATGCCATGTACCTAGTGCAACCCGAATAAATAATCTACTTCCCAGCCATAATCCGATACCTCTCCGCGGTGGCCCTCCTCATCCGCTTGCCCCAAATTACCATAGGGATAATGGTGAAGGTGATGGCCAAGCTAATGAATCCACATGCAATAAACATGTTCTGCGCGCCTGATCGGTCTAGCCAAGGGCTTATTGCGAACGGGATGCCGATGCTGATGGCATTGCGCATGAAGGCGACTCCTGTGAAGGCGTCTCCAGTAATCTGTTTGAGAAAAACTCGTGAGAAGGTGTATTCAGGTCTCATAGAAAGGTAGTGGTAGAGTGATATACTCACGTCACGGTAGGAGTCAATAACCAACGTCAGTGATGCATCGCTGATACTGCCTAGTCCGAAGCCGAACAGAGCACCACCAATACTGGGATAGATCCAGTGCATTCCCTTGATGGGGCCCGTTAGCTTTTCCTTTAACGATAATAAGCAATCGTAAAAGGCTTACCCGTGCAATCGTGGCTCCAAACATTATCAGCCCCCCAGCCATTGTAAGAGCAGGCAAATGAAGAATATACAAGCGCATCTCCGGCTCATAGTATCCCTTGTTGCGCTTTGAAAAGAACAAGATAGACCAATCACCGAGGAAGCCACCATAGACAGACCCGATGAGATTCCCGATAAATGGACCAACACTCATGAACCCGATTTGCTCAGAGGTGAAGAGATACGGTGGCAAAGGGAATACCAAACTGAGGGTGGAGGATAGTATAGTTAGCCAGACCACGCCAAAGGCATACTGCAAGGCACAGAAAAATACAGCGGGAAAGGAAGCCACGACGTAGAAGGGACGATAGAAATAAGGCCAAATAGACTCGGGGGTGTAGGTTATCAAGGCAAATCGCTGTCTCCATGTTCTCATTGGGATCCTATAGTCTAGCTCGTGGTGATCTGCTGGTATGGGACTCGTTTCGGCTCGACTGGCAGAACACTCAATATCTCGTTTGCGATCGGCTTTGATGTTGTCGACTGTGTGTTCGCAAGATTCGTCGACGCCGGGAATGACTGGCGTATACTTGGTTTCCTCGTAGAAAAGCACGAATAAGACAAATAGAACGGCGTTAGTGATACCGAGTGCTTGGTATGATGCTCGCCAGCCTTGATTTGTGGCTTGAGTCCCGGCCGCCATGGGTGTTAGAAAGCTCTGTCAGGGAATGGGTAAGCGTGTCAAGAGCAGGCAGATAATAGTTATTTCTCCACAGGTTTGACATACACCTATCATAACCATAGTCATATACAAACCATTCATCCCCCCACGATGGTGCACGAAAAAGAGGTCGGAAATCTGTAGCAGTCAGTAAAGGGTGATTCAGCAGAAGGGGTATCACTACCGTAATCTGCACGATTGATTCATTTGTCGCTCCAGCAAGCCCCTGAAGCAAGTTAGTGGCATACAATTCCGCAAGAGTCTGCAACTTCGACGTCCAGAAAGAAGTTGCCAACATGAGGGCCGTCGAAACGAGATAGACGGGTCTTCGTCCGAACTTCTTCGCTAGGGGAATGAAGAATACGCAGCCCACGGCAAGGCCAACGAAGTTCACAGACATGGCACGGTTCAGCTGGGCATATGTCACATCGAGGTCTACCACCATCAATTGCCAGAAAATTGCCTGGATCGAAAGCCTATCGACCATCATTAGCACAGCGCCATCTGTGACCGGTAGAAGTAACTAACGCTGTAAATATGAGTGCCGTCACAGCGAGAACGAGGGTAAAGTTGCATATTTTCCGCGCTGTACTCCAATTCTGCAATCGTCAGTGGTTTCGGATGCCACCAAACGCGGGATACCGACCAACGGTTCATTGGGATCGCTGGATGGGACAGGATTTAGCATAACCTGGCGGTTGCCTTGTCCTCTTTCATCTTCGTCTGCATAATGGTGAGATTAATTTGCGATGACTTCAGCTAGCCATTTCATACCCTGGATCAGACGGAATGTCCCTGGTGGCAGATTGTCGCGTGGGTCAGGAAATAGTGGGTCGCAGGGCTGATTCTGTGCCATTAAGTCTTGCTATCAAGCGAACACGGTGAATTAGGAGAAAGATATTGACCATTCAAGGCATAAATTGGGTCATTCGCTGTGATATCAAACATTCAGGATGTAAGGTCGTTCGTGGGAGTCATAACGCTATATACTATCCAGTGTATCAAGTTCGGAGCACCGACACGTACATCATACAGATAGCTCATGTCTATCAAGTGGTAGGAAGTCAATTACTTGGTATCAAGTCAAATGCGGGGGCATGCACCCAGGCGAGATAAGAATTAGCGCCAAATGGGGCCGATCTGCCATCTGCTGAAGGATGAGACCAGTGCGGGATGGGGTCGACCTGCCTGAAAAGGAATGATGGATGCACATCCGCATATCGCACTCGGGGAACAAGACAGGCTGATGATTGCGATCCCCACGACATCATTCGTCCAGCTGGCCGAGCAGTTAGCGAACAGCCTCTTGTGATAATATCAATATGCATCAGATTAAACTTGGATCCAAGACCAAAGAAGCAGGTTGACCCTGCAATCTAGTCACTGGCGTCTCTCCTCGGCACCAGGACATTTATCATCCTACATTGAACCTGAAGTATGCTTCATTGGCAATCTCCAAGTGACGATAAGAATAATTCGGCACCTGCGACTGATTTGAAGGATACCGAAATCAATTGCAATGACCGCCAATCAAACGTTGCGACTCTTCCGTGTCCACGACGGTACGTCCAGCCCGATCACCTCCCCGGTGCCTTTACTGAAACTCAACGTCATAAAGAACCACATACCATAAGTGCAGTCGCAAATACGATTACTACTTCCTTCGCTCAAGATCCTCTAATCACATGGTTACGCCCTCGCGCTCCGCCCTGGACGAAATATAACGCCGAAATATGCAACTGGCAATATCGTCGGGTCCAACGAGCTGTTGCAGAGGGAATAGTCCTGCAATCGGGACCGAGTTACCAGATAGCCCGTTGCTTTCCTTCTAGGCCTTCTGGTTCGTGCCATGTTGGACCCGATGCGAAAGGTTCAGTGGCCGAAGAGAGCTGGAGCGAGGATGGCGATGAGAATAAGGATGCAGGAGTTGTGGCCCTCTTATTTCCTCCTCGAAGACATCAAAAATGGACTTTAGCAAAACTGGTACTTCAATTCAAGCTGCTTTACCTCGACATCTTTTGCGCCCGTCGTGAAAGTGGTACCAATGTACAGGTATGCCCCGAAAGCCGATCTGACAGACGAAATATAACGAACGAGTTTATCAGAGACTAGAGATCATGATGAAGATCCATGACGACACAATTGCTCGAGTTAAGAAGCTGCAGCGGCTGTCCGATCTGTGGTATTTGGAGGTTGTGGCTGTTCATCCCTCTCTCCAGGGTCGCAGCCTCGGCAAGAAAGCGATGACATGGGTGTTGGACCACATCAAGCACGAACCAATTTTACTGGAGTGTACAAGTGAGAGTAACATCCCGTTCTATCAGAAACTGGGGTTTGAAGTTGTTGAAGAAGTCGAGTTAATGGAGGGTGGTGAAGCAGTCAAGTTGTGGTTCATGCTACGGCAAGTTTCTAAGAGCGAATACAGTAAATAGCAAAATGAAAATGACAAATCCACATCAGAATAGGCCAAGTTCTATTCCTCGTGACTGCGCAATCTCATGTATATTGATAGTGTTTTGGGGATAGGTCCAGTACTCTTCCAGCAAGTCTAGAAGTAGTCGATATTGCTTGTTCCAGAAAGGTCCCTCTGCGATTGCCACCAAGATCCTCCGGATAAAATCTCTTAAGTTGGGGTCCTTGTTCAATGCATCCGATTGAAGGCCAGCGACGAAGACGGGATAAGGAATGGCATTGATGATCAAGGTGTCCTTTCCCTCGGCTTCTGAGGACGCTCGATATATAGCGTCCACGCAGCTCAGCAGTCGCGTGATAATCACCGCCGTTGTTGGAAGTGCTGATTGTTTTTGGCTTTGTACTCGCTGTGCTGGGTTATCTTCCAGTTCAGATGACAGCCGCAGTGCACCATGTCGGATCACCAGCATCCCAGCCAGCCGATATGCTTCCCACAGCTGGCACTGCAAAAAGCACCCTCTGGAACCAGGCCAATTCCAGAAATCTTGTTCTGTTGCGCCCTCAAAAATACAAGAGAAAATGTCAACCAAGGATCGCGGTAAACCACTCATGACCTCCACATCATACCGTTCAGATGAGTCCGGCATCGATTGATTGCGACAGTACTGCCGCCAGAACCCTAGATATGGGTGCTTTCTACCGATCGCAAATGTAGGAAGATCCATAATTCCCATTACCTCTAACAAATGGGCCCGAAAGGGAGAGACCTGATCATGCGACCGTGTCACACTGTGTGACTGTAGGATGTTATACATCCCTCGGAGATGCATAGTCCACGGTATCCCTTGCATAATCTATATCCACCTATCAGCTAACAATGTTTAATAACCAAGGAGGTATGGATGGAGAAAGATGAGACGTACTCCGATAGTGCACAATAGTAATCCAGCAGTTAGTGTACCATCCTCTAAATAGGCTTCGCTCTGAGCTAACTCGCTACGGAACTTGTTCAGGGCCGCGTCAAAGTACTCGAAGAACTGAGACTTCAAATCCGGACGTATAGAGACCTGTAGTGTGATGCATATTTGATACAGCGCGTCCGATTGTTGACACAGTCCTGGTAGTCGTACTTTGAGCGGTATCTCACCATCGTGAATAGTCGTGGAGTGAAGGACATTGATGCCAGATGAAAGGACTATCCAAATTAGATGATTCACGGTCAGTAGCATTCTTCTATCACGCTTACAGTCACTGAATAATTCTGCATAATGATTCGGCTTCCAAGTCTCGGATAGTAATGGGCTGAGTAGCAACTCTAGTTCAGTGGAGTCAACAATCATCACGACAAGACGAGAAGCTACTACACCCTACCTTCAGTTCCCTCTATTAAGATCTCAGATCCGGAAGATTCGCGCACTTGATCAGCTACCTGCAACTGCCGCTTCCTCTCCCGAAGCAGATCTCTCTGTCGTCCTTGAAGCCTCGGCGGAATTGACGACTCGGCAGGCGCATCGGCGCCGGTAAATCTCCCTCGCGAGGCAATTCCGGTTCCCCAGCGGAGACGAACATCATAACCCTCACATGCCACTCCACGTTCAGCACAAACCTGACATGTCGGGCGCGCACGATCACACTTTCGCCGGCGGGCTTTGCAGGTCCAGCTGGACGGTAGAGTCAGTTTCACGGAAAGTGGAAAAGACTAAAAGATCGGGAGTGACCCTACCATCCCTGGTGGGTTCGGCGACCGGGGGTCGACATTCCTATTTTGAGTGGTGATCGGATAAAGATGAGGAACCTCGCAGGCGAGCAGCGGATGGGAATTAGCTTTTAGCACAGATGCGGGGAAGATAACAGGACAGGAATCCACACTCGTTTGATTAGGTTTGAGGGTCGACCTGCCAATTCGAGTGTAGCTTGGAGATAGCTAACCTTTGGAGCTACCGTCTGGGGGCCAGATAAGAAAAGCCGAGGTTCAAATATGCTATAGAACACATCTCAGGTCTATATGACAGAATGCATATACTATACTCAATTGACTGATCTTATTCGGCATTATTTCTCTTCTTCTGATCAAGGGTCAACATGTCTTTCCAAACTCCAACCACAAAATGCACGACCGAAATTCCTACCCTTGGCCAACTTGAGGGTTTTCAATTTGCGAATGGTGTCCAACAATACTGTGGAATACCATATGCTGACCTGCCTAAACGGTGGACAAGATCGACTCTCAAGACTTCCTGGACAGGCTCTAAACATGATGGAACAAAATTGGGGTAAAGCTCTGTATATCTCGTGTTCGCCGCATATTAACTAAAGCGCATACAGCAACGACTGTCCTCGGCCCTACTCCGAAGGCGACGACAGCGATGACCTCGTTCCAGTGCCACCACCTGCTCACTTTCCGGTTACTCCGAAAACAGACGAACTAACTGGGCTTGTGATGAACATCGTTATTCCCTTCGCCCCAGCCTCCGACAGGCGAAGTCTTCCGGTCATGGTATACGTCCACGGAGGCTCCTTACTTTACGGAGGTGCAAACCTCCCCATCTTCGACGCTGTAAACCTCGTTTCACAGAGTATTGAGATGGGAAAGCCAATAATATGTGTAAATTTCAATTACCGCGTCGGACTCGGAGGCTTTCTCGCAAGCGAAGCCATACGCCGTGAGTTGCAAGATGATGGGTTTCAGGGCTGTGGGAACTTCGGCTTCACTGACCAGAAAGTTGCATTTGACTGGGTTCAACGGTATATTGCGACCCTCGGCGGAGATCCCGATAATGTCACTGCAGTGGGGGAGTCTGCTGGTGGGATATCGATCAGTAACCAGCTTGCAGCTACTCATCCACCAAGTTTCCGGCGCGCCGTCTGTATGTCTGGACTTTCTGTCTCCATTCCTCCTTGGACTATGGAGCAACACGAGGCTCTCTTCCAGGCAGTTTGTCGTTATTTCAAGATAGATGCTTCACAGCCCCATGTACTGGATCGGCTCCGGCAGATTCCGCAGCAGGAAATGGCGAATGCGACCCCGGCTATCCAAGGCGTCCTGTCGGGAACAGGGAACCCTTGTCTCGATAGATGGTTTTATCAAAGCGATCCCTCCGAGATACAGAAGGCACCAACGTGGCTGGAAGCCTTGATGATTGGGGATACATACCACGAAGGAGTCATTTTCCATCTAAATCTTCTCGACGACGATTTTGCTTCAATTCGCCGGACATTGTTAGATCACATCAACAATGACGACGAGACAGACCAAATCCTGAGAGAATATGACATACACCAGACGCTTCCGCATGACATGCTTCTCGAGCGCGTGGAACACATGTGCGGAGACGCGGTTTTCAAGATTCCCAACTATGCCACTGCGCTAGAAAACACTACGCTTCGCGATAAGGGTGGTCTCTTCCTGTACCATTTCGACCAGCGCTCTCGCCTCAAGAACCCACTAGAGGGAACAGCCTACCATGCCCATGAGCTTTTGTATCTTTTCAAGAATCTCGAGACGGAAATGGATGAGGGAGAAAGTGGGATGGCAAAGGATTTTGCTGCTGCTTGGATTAGATTCTGCAATGGGGAGGCGCCATGGTCAGCACGCAAGGGAGAATGGAAAGTATGGGGACCAGATAGTGATCAGTCTGTTAAGAGCGAAGACGAAGATGAAGAGACCAGATCATATCAACGGATGAAGCGGATCCTGGCCATGGGCAACGGAGAGACTTGGAAACGATGGCTTGCTGGGGTGGATGTACTGGTAAATAAGAGGATGAATATGGGGAAGGCGGCATAAGATCTCTAGAATAGTATTTGACAATAATCAATAAGAATGGCTGGGTTATTTATTGGGATTTCACAAAATCTGAACCTCTAAATTAATCGCCAAGTCCTTTCCTAGTTGATTTCCACCTATTGTACTACAGGTGTGAGCGCTCTTGCACATGACGCATCAGAACAGCCTTCTTGACCCTATCTTCCGTCACCAGCATTTGCTCTGGAAACCACGAAAGATCCGTAGACTCAGTCTCGAGCAACTTATCATCCTTTATCAGCAACATCGTCGCCAATGCTTTGCCACACAACCATGCCAGCACCATTCCCTCCCCTGAAAAAGCAGCGGATACCCATTCAGCACCCTGTTCTTCATCATGAAGTCCCCGCTGGGTTGTCGAACCAGGAAGCTGTCCTACCCAGGGGAGTCCATCTGCACTAAATCCCATATTTCCCGTCCACATCTGCTCCACGCTCTGTCGGGCAACATTGCCCCAATTGTTACGGCCAAACACCGCACTTAGCGCACCCGATAGATGAATATCAGCATACAGACTGATTTCCGAGTCTGTTGCGACGCCCATATCGGCAATTCCACCTCCCCCTCCCTGAGCAAAACCTCCACCGAACATCATCATCTGCCCGGCCTCTGATTGTGGTAACTGGGTGAGATAGTCGAATCCACGATCGTAGTTGAAGATCCAGGAGTGCTCCTCTCCCTGACACCGGAAATTCTGTCCCGGGTGTTGCGCCGACATCTGTCCGCGTATAGGATAAATGCGACCTCTCAAGCCAGGTACGAGGTGGCCAACATGAGCATTTGTACAATGAATGACATGACGAGTGCGAACAACACCCCTAGATGTAGAGATAGAGTATCGCAAACGCGAGTTACCTTCCTCACTCACGTCCTCCTCGATACCAGTCACAGGCGTATTCGTCTCAATCAGCAGATCTCGCGGGAACTCTTCCTTCAATTGGCCCAAGACACCAGTGACAAACCTATAAGGCCAAATGGCCCCTCCTGGGCCAGCAACAATCCCCAACGCACGAGGAAGACAGAATTCTTCTGGGATCTCCTCCCTTTCATATATCTTCCACTCCATCGTCTCCTCCGGTAACCCCGCCTTCAGCCGGCGTACCCGCTCTCGGGCATCTTCCCACCCATCTTCATCGAAATAGACGCTCAGAAACTGTACCCTTCGCGCTTGACAGTGCTCAGTAAGTCCATACTCCTCCGCGGTATCAAGCATCTCGCGTAAATGCGCTAAGCGAAATTTCAAGATCTTCTTCGCTGCATCAGTGCCGTGCATATCCTCAAGATCGGCGAATTCCTCCGCCGTCTCGAGAATATGTCCGCCATTTCGACCGGTCGCGCCACTGCAAACGTCGCGCGCTTCGAGGATGACCACAGCCGGTCTATTGCTGTCATTCTGTCTCTTCTCCGCCTTTCGGGATTTGAGAAGTGTCCTTGCGATCGAAGTGCCGGTTACTCCAGAGCCAATGATCACGACGTCCGCTTCTGATGGTAGAGTCGCGGAGTGGGCTTTTGCCAGGTCAGGGTGTGGAGAGCGCAACCAAAAGGATGATGTAGGGTTTGATGAGGGAAGACCAGGATCGGCAAAGGCTCTGTCGAGGGCTTTCTGGCGGTCTTTGGCTGGGATTGCTGGATTGGAGAGTTGAGCTTGTACGAAGGCCATGATGGACTGCGATGATGCGGTGCTGTACTTGGTCTGGATATGGTTGCGATGGAATAATCGTGTTCCTCTTCAACGAAGCGGGGCCATCTACGGTAGTTTGTATCGATCTTAGTAAGGCAGGATTTGCTTCTTAGCTTCCAAATCGGACTCCGCGGAGAGCGATGACTTCCTTGATAGCGCAAGGAGTTTGCGATCTGTCGCATGGACTTGATGGTTATGGTTAGAGAAAAGTTTGATTCCGGAAGGTTGAACCGAAGGCTATCTTTGCCTTTGATTATCATTCTCGGGTATCTTGTAGCCTCCTTAACTGTCTTATCGAGGGTCGACCTACTAATTAGGGTAATAAGCTATCCAGACCCCACTATGAGGAAGCCCTGCGGGGTAAACACGGTAGATATATTTGGCGTTCAATAAGCTAGAAAATTATTTATAAGTATTCCCGAGCAGAGGGTTGATACCATATTATTATCGGCATCATACAGATACCGTTATTACACTAAATATTCTTAACATTCATAGTATTCTATTGCATCAGACTATCACAATGACCGCGAAAACCGCCGACTCCCCGGGAAACACCTACTATCCTAAGAGTCCCCCGATGCGTCGCCCAGGTCTGACGTTCCTGTATCGACTTGAATGCACCATCGCCGCAGAAGAAATCAATGTCGGGGCACCCCACGGCGCAGGCATCATTCGCAGCATCGCAAATATTACTGGAGGCACCTTCAAAGGACCAGAACTTGAAGGGACAATCCTCCCTTTGGGAGGAGCAGACTGGGCAACAGTCATTGAGGGAACACACGTGAGCTTTTCCGATTACTGCTGAATTATCCGAATAACAACTGACTAAATCAGTCCATGACCCTCGACGCCCGATACACCATTAAAACAACAGATGGTCACCATCTATTCGTGCAGGCACATGGGCTCTACCGTCCTGGACCAGAAACGGAATACGCGAAGCAGGTCGCAGATGATCCGGCGATGAGGCCTCCACCGACCGTTACTCAGGATGATGTTGAATTCTTTTCGCATCTACGGATTGAAGCGGGTGGGGGCAAATATAATTGGTTGAATGGGTTGGTTTGCGTTGGAGTGATGAGTTGCGAGAACGATAGGATTATTATTGATGCGTATTATTTGACGAACTTTGAGGGCGTTAGGCCGGATGATGTTGTTGTTAAGAAGTCGTCTCTTTAATAAATTAGATTATTACTTAATGTTTTCAATCTCGAGTAATCCAAGATCTATAAGACCACAGTATAGTTCTACTTGCGCCTTCAGTTCTGA